AATAAGATATTTTCTACTTAAAATCATCTGGGGTTGGTTTAGTTAGAAATTTTGCAACTAAAATCTGTGGCCAGATCTAGTACTGATGCAGGACTGATGTTTAAGGTTGATGTAAAAGTTACATATTTATAAACAAGTGTTTATTTCTTTAAAATGTAATTCCAATAAGTATTATCTTTTGGAATCACTGTTTAGCTATAGCTTTTAAATGCCTTTTTTTTTTTTTTTTTTTTTTTGAGATGGAGTCTCTCTCTGTTGCCAGGCTGGAGTGTAGAGGTGTGATCTCGACTCACTGCAACCTCTGCTTCCCAGGTTTCAAGCGATTCTTCTGCCTCAGTGCCCTGAATAGCTGGGATTACAGGCTTGCACCACCATGCCTGGTTAATTTTTGTATTTTTAGTAGAGACAGGGTTTCACCATGTTGGCCAGGCTGGTCTTGAACTCCCGACCTCAGGTGATCCGCTCACCTCAGCCTCCCAAAGTGCTGGGATTACAGGCATGAATCACCGTGCCCTGCCACTTATTTTAAATATTTATAAAAATGCATGAATAAATGTACTTTCATGGCAGCTTATCCTTTTTTTGTGCCAGAATTGTCCAACAGAGTCTAAAATAATGACAGAAACACTACTTTTCTGATGAGGTTTACATCAGTTAGGACTCTTGGTGACAAGTTATAGAAAAATCAGCTTAGACTCACACTGACCAAAAAAAAAAAAAACTCTTGTCTCTTGGGATTCATGGTACAATTGAAGAATTAAATTGTCGTCAGCAGAGATGAATTTGAGCCTCAAAACAATTGAAGCCAGGTCAGTCAAGAGTCCAAGGACTCTGCCACATTGGTCCACCTACTTCTTTCCAGCCATTGCCATTATTCACTCGCCACCTGAGGAAACTTGGCTACCAGTAGCTGCTGATTGAGGAGAGACAGATTCTCTTCTTTGACACAATACAAAAATTCTGTAGATAGATTCTGATTACTTCATTGGGGTTATCCCTGCGTCAGTCACTACAGAACGAAAAGGACAAGGTTGAGAAAAACCATCTCAAACAGATGTAAAAAGGAGATCGGGGGCCTTCCCAAGAGAGGGAGAAGGCAGGATAAATCCCTTAAATTTCTCCTTCAGGACTCATTTCTAAAGGTTTACTAAATGCAGGAAGAAATAATTTGAGGTTTAGAAAATACACTTTGAAAAGTAGGTAAGTTTTCTATCAAAATAAAACACAATACTTTTTGAGTGCTTAATATGTGCCCACACCGTTTCATCTATGCCTAAATATTTATTTGTTATGTGAAACCTGCCTGGGAAAATCTGAAGTAGCTTAAGGAGCACAGGTTATGGCTACAACTGACCCAGGTCCCAGTCAGCTGAGCTGGGTGGGCACAATTATTAACAATTTGACTTTGAGCAAGCTAGATAATCTCTATCCTTACAAGCTTTTTACTTCTGTGTACCAAAAGTGACTTTGTAGGGTGTCTGTGGAGACTGAAGAAAATGAGATAAATAAAACAGTAGAGGTACATAATAATGTTAGCTATTTTAAGTCATTGAGAGTCAGAGCCTGTTTACTCATACAATATCAACAAATTTACTTTCTGAACTTTAGAAAATAAAATGCATTATTTGACTTATTTGTACTCTGGAGGAAATAACATACAATGAGAACAAAACAAAATGTCAATCTCCTTTTGGCTTTTTTTGCAATTACAAAACCAGGACAAATGCAAATTCCAATAAACACTCATGGAAGGTCTTTGATAGCAATTTAATTACATTATTTATTAAGCATTTAATAGTGGGGCTTCACATAATTCTCATTCTGCTCCTCTTTCCTCCTCTTCTCCTTTTCCTCCTACTTCTTCCCCTTCCTCTGCTACTCATCCCAACTAAAAGTCATCTGAAGGCAAATTAGACTTAGGATATTCACCAGAATGACTTGGGAAGGTTGCCATAGATACCTCTTCCCCAGACCTTTAAACAAGTTGATTACATTACATTACATCATTTACCCCAAGTTTAAGAGCAAAACTTAATTTATCTTGCTAGGTAGAAAATGTGTTTTTACTACATTCAAAGAAAGTAAGTTGAAAAAAAAACGAGATAATATAAAAGCACAGAGACAAATTGTTTGTCCTGCCTGGAATGAACACTCAAGCTGTATTAAAAATGGAACCAGCATTTTTATATTGGGACATATTATTTTTCTAGGACATACAGTGTGAACAGTAGAGTGGAGGGCCAATGAATGAGGCTGTTCATTCAATCAAGGTCCATTGATCTTTAAATGATGAGATTTGGGAATCATAAATCTCACCAAGAAAATCAGGCCACCTCCCAAAATTGTGATTAGTATTATTAATGTATTCATTGCTCTTACGCATCTCCTTGTCTACATCTTTCTAATGCAGCACCAGCTGGTTTCTAACTGCATCTCCAGGTTTGCCTTAAACTGTGTCATTTAGACTCCCTACACTTCACCAAACATCCTCTCCAGGGCCTTCCCTGGTTCCTCCAAGTATTCCTGAATTGGCTAGGTTCTGCATCTTGCCAAAGCCCTTCATAACTGCACTGAACATGTGCATTATAATGATATGTTTATCTGCCTATCTACTGCTAGGCAAGGAGAAACTTGAAAGCAAAGCCTTCATGTAACTGTTTTCTAAAGACAGTTGTATCATGATATAATTAACACATAAAAATCTGCACATATTTCAAGTTCACGATCTGGTAAATTTTGACTCACACACACACACACACAGACACGCACACATACACAAAACTATCACTAAAGTTAATATAATAAACAAATCCAGTACCCAAAAAAGTTTCCTCATGCCCCTTTGTCATTCCTCCCCCATCCCCACCTATTCCTACAATCCCCAATCCCTAAACAATCACCAATCTGCTATCACTATGTTGCATTATCTAGAATCTTATATGTATGGAATCATACAATATGTATGCTTTTTTTTTTGTCTGCCACTTTTTACTCACTCAGCAGAATAATTTTGGAATTCATTCATGTTGTTCTACGTGTCAATGGTGTATTCCCTTTGTAATGCTGAACAGTGTTCCACTGTAACGATACACCACAGTTTGCTTGTCTATTCACTGTTGATGCCACTGGGGTTGTTTCCAGTTTGTGGCTATTAAAAAATAAGCTGCTATGAACATTTCTGTACAAGCATTTGTATGGACATATGCTTTGATTTCTCTTGGGTAAATACCTATTCATGGGTCATATAGTAGCTATGTGTTTAACTTTTTAAAAAAACTTTAAAACTGTTTTTGACACTGTACATTTCCTCCAAGAGTATATGAGAGCTCCAGTTGCTCCTCATCCTCATTAACACTTGATAGAGTCCATTCTCTCAGATACCTGTTAGACATCCTGATGGGTATTCAGTGCTATCTAACTATTGTTTTAATTAACATTTCTGTAATAACTAAGGATGTTAAGCATTCTTGTGCATGTCTTTTGATGAGCATGTGTAAGCCTTTCTGTTGGAATTGCTTGGCCAGGAAGGATGTACTAGGTGAGCCTTAAAGATATTATCAAACAGTTTTTAATTTTTATTTATTTATTTATTTATTTTTTTGAGATGGAGTCTTGCTCTTTCACCCAGGCTGGAGTGCAGTGGCATGATCTCGGCTCACTGCAACCCCATTCTTCTGCCTCAGCCTCCTGAGTAGCTGGGACTACAGGTGCCCTCCACCACGCCTGGCTAATTTTTTTTTTTTTTTTTTTTTTTTTTGTATTTTTAGTAGAGACGGGGTTTCCCCATGTTAGCCAGGCTGGTCTTGATCTCATGACCTTGTGATCCACCTGCCTCATCCTGCTCGTACCATATTAAACCCCCACTAGCAGTGTATGACAGTCCAAGTTGTTGTTCATCAACACTCGGAATTATATGCTTTTCTTATTTAGCCATTCTGGTACATACTGTATGATTCCATTCATATAAAATTCTAGAAAATGCAAGCTACAGTAGTATCACACTGAGGTTTTAATTTGCATTTCCTTGATAATTAATGAAAATAAGCTATTTTTCAAATGCTTGTCACTTAGCTATACATGATTGAAACGCCTGTTCAAGTCTATTGCTCATGTTTTTATTAGGTTGTCTGTCTTCTTATTTTTATTTGCAGGAGCTCTTAATATGTGAGATTTAATTCTTATGTCAGATATTTGAATTGCAAATATTTTCCCCATTCTGAATGGCTTCTTCATCCTCCTAATAGCGCCTTTTGATGAACAGAAGTATCTAATCTTGTTACAGTTAAGTTTCTCAAGTTTCTTTTTTTGTTTGTTTGTTTGTTTGTTTTTTATGGTTAGTGCTTTTTGAGTTCTGTTCAAGAAACTTACTCCCAGTTTATTAGGATTTTTTTTTCCTTCCAGAATATTTATTGTTTATCATTCACATTCAGATCTGCAACTCATCTGGAGCTGATTTGTGGCACTTTTTAATTATTTGTCATTTGCCATATTCCATCTTATTAAAAAACAGTATTTCTGATTGTTCCTTTTGTGTTAAGCCCTAGTATGGCTCAATATGGTGACTACTGATCCTGTCTTTATTCAAAATTTTGCTATTTTGTTCAGAGTGCATTTTTGCATTATTTTTTATTTTTAACACATTGTATCAAAATTATTTATCTTGATTGGTACGTTTATGGAGCCACAAATACTTGGTGCCCAAGGCAGGTCCCTCACTCACTTCACTCTAGTCCCTGCCATGCCTTAATACCTGAACTGAAGCACCTGGATCTTCCTACAATCAGGGCACTATCCACTTGCTTCAGAATAGCTATATGGATTGCTTCTAGAAGCCTCAGACTCTCATAAGACTAGAAATCTTATTCTCTTCCTAAGTCAGTAGAAATACTCTGGTAGCCTGAACTTGTTCACCATAATAATAATGAACTGCCTTGCAAAGATTCTGTATGCTCCCCATCCACCTTCTGCAGGGAAGAAACTGGCATCCCAAAGCGACTCACCCTTTGAAGGCCCATCCGGAGGATTTTCTAGTCCCTTTCTCTGGAAAGCAGAAAAGAAAAATAAAAGAATATATTAACTCTTCAGTGAGTCATCCTACAATGAACAGCATTAGATTGGACTAAATACCTCTGAGTGAGGCCACATGTGGTGGCTCACACGTGTAATCCCAGAACTTTGGGAGGCTGAGGTGGGTGGATCACCTCAGGTCAAAAGTTCAAGACCAGCCTGGCCAATATGGTGAAACTGCATATCCACTAAAAATACAAAAATTAGCTGGGTGTAGTGGCAGGTGTCTGCAATCCCAGCTACTCAGGAGGCTGACGCAGGAGAATTGCTTGAACCCAGGAGGCGGAGATTGCAGTGAGCCAAGATCTCGCTACTGCACTCTAGCCTGGGTGACAGAGTGAGACTCCATCTCAAAAAACAAACAAACAAACAAAAAAACCTCTGAGTGTCCAGTTCTCATCTGTATAGTGGCAGCATCAAGGAGTGCTCACAACTAAGGCAGTGACAAAAATGAAGATTGGAGCAGCCACTTTCAGAGAAGGGCCTTCACTGCTCAAGTCTACTGACAGTCCACACTACAATCAGTACCACTTATCTAAAAGAAGAAATTCAGAAGGCAAAGCAAGCCTAATATGCGTCACCCTTAGAACATACAGCAGATTAAATTCTTCCACTGTTGCAGCCTAGGAATTTAATTTGTGCCTGGAGCTAAGGCGCTGAAAGACAGTAAATATTTAAGTTGAGATGGACCTGCCTTCCTAACACAAAATCATACACTCAGAAAAAGAGGAGGATATAATACACATTTAATTTCTTATCTACCCTCTAGCATTTGGTCTCTTTAGCTCTCCACCTCAGCTTCACAATCAGCTTAGTACATACCTACTCATCGATTTGAATGGTGACCCAGGGCTATGGGATTTGCAGATAGCAAAACAGTGTTTTGGTCACTCTAATGCTAAGGATTATTTTTGCTGTGGCTTTTTCTTGCAGCAATTTCATTTCATTTCTGTCAGTACACCCTGATTAAACACAAACTCTCCCACGGCATGCCAGGTAATAGCCAGTACACAAAAGTAACCAATAGCTCCAGGTCAGTCCTTGCTTTCACTGGATCAGTTGCCCTTCCTCTCAAATCACCAATTCCAATCCTCTGATTCTGATGCTTGTACACACAGTTTCAAAGACCACACTTTCTTCTGCTTTTCAACAAAGACTGAATTTTCATTCCAGCCCTACCACTATTCGATTGAGTGTCCTTAGGAAAATCACTTTACTACCATCTATGCCAGCAGTTCTCAACACAGGCTGCTCATTAACATACTGTTGCCTGAGCCTCAGCCCCAGCCTCAGAAGTTCTAGTTCAATTGGCCCATGGTTAGGATATCATACCTAGGTGATTATAATGGGCAGTCAGAGTTAAGAACCACAAAACCTGTAGTTCCTAATCACCTGAGAGGTGGTTAAAATGCACATTTCTAGCTCACCCTCATTCCCCACTCCCTGAGTCTGATTTAGGATACTCAATTAGAGACCAAGCATTTTCCATTTTAATGAAGCTGAAACTGGTGGTCCAGGTAACAGTCTTTGAGTAATACTGATTTTATAAAAGAGGCGGCTGTATGATATGATCTTTTGGGTCCATCTCAGGGCTAATGTTTGATCATTTGGAGTTGCTGCCCTTCAGAAGGAGTGGATAATCCCAATGCTTTGTACCTGTTTAGTCTTAAGAAAGATAGGTTTTCTTTATCTGAAGATAAAAGACATGTCTGTTTTTTGTTTTTTTGTTGTTTCGTGTTTTTTTGTTGTTGTTGTTGTCGTTGCTGACTGTCTTCTGTAAAGTTCCTTATATCGGTTTGAACCTCGAGAGTGTGCCAACAGACAACACAAGGCGGTGTGGAGCAACACGTTGTTTTAATGAGAGCCTGGGTGCAGGCAGGCTGAGGCCTAAAATGGCATCAGTCCCAAGCGAGGAGGGGCAAAGGTTTTATAGTCTCGTGTAAACAGGAAGTATCCTAGTTTGATGTAAACAGGAAGTGTCCTAGTCTGATGTAGTTGTACCCGGATGGCCTCTTTCTAAATCTTCAGGGTTATGTGTCTTCCGGCCAGACTAGGTGTCTTCTGGCTGGCTCTCTTCCTGCTTCTGCTGTCTTGCTGTCAGCATGCTGCTGGCGCAAGTAGCCTTGTTCCTTGGGACTGGGCCTGAGAAGGGAGGAGTTACTCATCTCCTTAAGCTTTCAGGTCCCAGGGAGAATCTTATACCTTCCTCTCCCCAAAACTGGAAGCACTTGATGTCCGTGGATGAGCTCAACCTCTCCTCCTGTTCCCACACCCTCTTCCACTCTAGAGGTTTTGGAACCAGTACTATAGGCAATAGGATTTAAGAAGCACTGAACACCATGGGACTTAGCTCCAAGCTGCTTCCTTTGTTCACTCCCATCCTGGACTAACATTGCTGTCCCAGTTACTGGACTTTCATCCTGACCACTCAAGATCAAGTCCTCCCACCTTGGACCTTAATTATGTCATTGGACCCTGACATTGCTGCCTATGCCTGGTTTATTTGAATCATTGTCTTCCAAACAGCTGAGATCCAGGCCATCTTGCCACCTTCCACAGTAGTGTGTCATGCCATCTAGAGACTCCTTCTCCCAGAGTTGACCCGGTGCTTCATATCCCTGATTTCCACCACATGCTTGTTTCCCTTGCTAGGGCCTCTCTGATACTAAATGGGTGCCTAGATTACCTCCTATTATGGTCATCCTTGTTGGCTCCTGGGTCCACATATTGCCCAGTAAATCTGACTTCTTTCTGCCACCCACTCACTGCTGGTGTTAGTTCCAGGTCCCTATGGTCCCCAGTTCACCATATTGCTGGACTTCGATGAACATTTGCTACTTATCTAGCACTGTGCTAACAAAATTGCTTTCACTATCTCATTTGTACTCATAAAACCCAAATGAGCTACATATTAATTTAATCCTCATTTTACAAATGAGGAAACTGGGAGCGCTTAAAGTTGTTAAGATTACACAGACTGAAAACTAAACTCTCAGTACACTGCAAACATAATGAGACAAAAATAAGCACACTGGCACCTTCCAGCTGCTGAAACCAAGTCTGGCTTTGTGATATCGTGAGGTTAGGAGTTCACTTTTAGAATTCTGGCTTTTTAGAATCTTTCTCCCCACCCCATAGATAGCTGAAAGCATGAGCCTTCAAGATCTGGCTTCGTCACAACCCACCTCACCAATACCTGCTTGGAGAAAGGGCTCATTTAATAATTTTCAATATATTGAAGTCAATATGTTTGTTTTTCCACAAAGAATATTCACTCCAAGCCTAAAATCATAATGCAAAAAATATATATTTCTTATTTAAAGAATTTCAGCAAATAGATATCCTGCAAGACCACAGGAAACCTTCAGATTTTATTATATAGGTGGCCAGCCCAATATGTGTGGTGAGATCTTGGCAAAGCCCAGGCAGGACAGAGCTTAGAGAAAAACAGTTCAGGGGGGTTGGTGTGATACTCAACAATTTTAATGATTGTATATAGTTACCTATTGCTACCAAAACAAATTACCACAAACACTAAAGTCAAGATATCAGCAGGGCTGATTCCTCTAGGCTCTGGGAAAGAACCATCCCTTTGCGTTTCCTAGATTCTAGAGGCTGCCCACGTTCCTTCACTCATGGCTGCATCACTCCAACCTCTACTTCTATCCTCACATCTCCCCTAACTCTCCTGCCTCCCTGTTTCCCTATAAGGACACTGTGATTACAGTGGGTCCACCCAGATAATCCAGGATAATCTCTCCATCTCAGGATCTTTAATTTAGCCACATCTGCAAAGTCATTTTTTGCCATTTAAAGTTGCATATTCACAAAGAATTGAACATCTTGGTGGTGGGGGGACATTTTTTTGCCTACAACAGACTTAATGACTCAAATATAGGGGACAATCAAGGACAGAGGGGAAGAATGGAAAGTATTAGGACACTTCTGTTAATTTATATGACAATGACCGAAAGTCAACTGAAATTGGCTTACTTAGGCCAGAGAGGAGAATTTGGGGTCACCCATAAGCAAGCCTACAAAAGGGAAGGGTGGGAACACAGGCTCCAGGATAACTGAATATGGGCCTCCAATACTAACAACTCCCTGTTTCTTTTTTTTGGTCTGTCTTTTCTGCATCTTATTGCCAGCTGCTCCTCAGTGCTGAACTATTAACGAAAGTAGATCTAAGTGTGCACCCTTCAGCTTCATGACCAGGGAAACATAGTGTCCTTCCTCTAGCTCCAGCAAGAAAAAATTTCAGCAGGTTCCATGATTGGCCAGAATTGTATCCTAAACCCATCACTAAGCCAACCAACAAAGTTGATTGAACATTGGGATTGATCTACGCAGGTCATTTGATGCCCCACAAGCACTGTGATTTACAGCCTTCACCAGAACCACCATGGTAGACATAAGAAACAGTTCCTCAAGTGAAAAAAGGACTTGGAAAATGATAAATGCCCACTAAGAGGATGGCAGGTGTTATCCAAACTTTTGCAGCATTAAGTCCTCTCAAACTGAGAACGGAATAAAAACTAGCAAGAAAAATGAATTATTAGTCTGGAAAACATTGTGAGACTCTGTCTCTACAAAAAATATTAAAAATTAGCCAGCACAGTGATGTACGCTTGTATAGTCCCAGCTACTCAGGAGGCTAAGGTGGGAGGATCACTTTACCCAGGACTTTGATGCTCCATCAAGCTATGATTGTGGCACTGCACTCTAGCCTGGGTGACAGTAAGATTCTGTCTCTAAAAAGAAAGAAAAGAAAAATGAGTGAGCTGAAACTTCTGAGAATTTTTGCCATTGATAAAAGTTAAGCATGGCGCTACTGTCTTAGTTAAATCATTTGTATCCTGAGGAAACCAAAAAATTACTGCACAATCTTTCCCACCAGGCTGTAACCTTCATCCGGAGACTGTTTTCCTGATAGTTACTCTACTCAGACTGAGAGGTAGCAAACAACCTAGTGA